AGACAAGCAGAGGAAATTTCACAGGATAACAGGCAGCTCCTTCTCTCGGGCAGTAAGGCAGGGAGGTGTATTTTGATTCAGGTCTGTAACAATATCTGGCTGGACACCACAGGCAATTGAATACTCATCATGTGGCACCCTACTCAAAGGCAACCAGGGTCAGCAGAAGTCTTGATAATTTTTCTGTGCTCCAGAGCCTTTGCTCATTCTGTAATACAGTGTTCAGTTGGGGTTTTTTGTCTGGATTGTGGCACAAATCTACACACTGCAGTCAAATATGAAAAGGCAACATTCTCATACAACCCTGTGCATGTTTTTCAAAGATCATCCTTCTTTCCTGCAGTCACAAAGTCTACTGCCTTGTCTGGGAGATGGACCGTCTTTGTTCAAGTCCAGGCTATTCAAAGGAAATTTGCTTCCTTTGATTTATTGCCAAGAACAGGCACTCCTGACCCCAGAAAAGGAGATTCTTGTGCTTTTCATTCCCATTTCCTGCCAGACAGTTTGTTCCAAGTCACTGCTAGGAGGGCTGTTTGTCTGCTGAGGGTAGCAGGGCCAGAGCAGGTGCAGCCATCACTTGAGGGGGCTGTGGCCTTCACTGCAGCAGACAGCCAAGGCTCCGGAGTCGAGGTTGAAAAAATTCCTGATGTAGGGGCTGCCTAAAAATAAACGAGTAGACCTATCAGGAGGTGATTTTATCTCTTGATAAATGGCCTCTGCTTTTCAGGCAGAAAGGTTCCTTTGATTTGAACTCTACCATGCTGCAAAATTAATCATTATTGGCATGTGGTTTCCAGGTCCAGCACTATGGATGTGCTTCCTGCTCTTTGTATCACATCTGGACCTGTGCAGTGAGCAGTGGTTTGCCGCCCTCATGCTTGGAATCATTTTGGGCTGAGGTGAACAACTTGCAGTGTGCCAGGCAAGGGTGGTCTGGGTCTGACAGACCTGGGTCCTGCTCTGTGGTCATATTCCCTTCAGTGATGCTGCTGCTTTGGTGCCTTTTAACACTATTGTCAGGAAGCCATGGCAGAGAGGGAAGGCTGCTCTTCCTTGGAGGGAACCAGAGAGCACAGTTACATCCTACCATGGCCTGAGCCATTCTTACTGGGACTGGAGTTACACTGTGGGTGTTCTCAGGGATCGGGTTCAACAGTGAACCAGAATGGACATTCCTAGCATTCTTCCTGTTTTGCCACCCAGCCTGCTTCAGAAAAAGTCCTGATGTAGGTGTTTGTATCCTGTCTCTTTCTTCCCTCACTGTATTTGTCTTTCAAGCCTGGCAGCAGTGGAAGGAAACTTAGCACGTGATGCTGACTCTCTGCCATGTCTGTGGGACGGCAGATTCCTAAAGTACTCAAATCTAGCTAAGAGAACAGCTAGGAAAACAGAAGGCAGAGGACTCATAAAAGCATGGAGAGGCTTGAATCCCAGTGGATTTGAGGAAGGATACCAGTTTTTATCCAGGAGCAGGGCTGCTCACATCAGGAGGGCTGTCTGGGTTCCTGCCCCCACTGTCCACACAGTCCCACTCTTATGACCTCCCACCTGTTTCGGGACTGAGCCTGGGATTTTGTGTTTTATAAGAAAGAGATCAATGGAAAAAAAAAAATAAATTGGAGAAGCTCTGAGAAATGTGTGCTTCAAAAAGCCCTCCAATTGTTGTTGTCAGGATTGCACCACTGCCTGAGAGTAAATCTTAACAGATACAGTCCTGCTGGAATATTCCCTAGTTTTCTGCTACTTGACTCCCTACTACTTACTTGCAGTTTTACACTCACATTCACAGCAAGGCAGGATTTTTCCTTTGGATACAGTGCTGGCAGTGGAGGCCACTCTCCCCGAGGCTGTGCCTTCACACTGCTGCCCTTGTACCACTGTGCTTGCACCTGTTTGTCTCTACTCAGCTGCTTCAGAAAACTCCCCTCCAGACTCTTCCTTCCTCCTTGTCCCACCATGCACACAAGGGCCCAGTTTCCCTTTTCCCAAGCCAAGACACAGGAATGCACCAGTCCCTAGTGATTCCTTCCAGCAAATGAAGAAGTGCAGAACTAAGGAGGGTTTCAGTAAAGCAACACGGCCTCAGGTGAAAAATTTGTTGTTTTTCTCCTTTTCCCATTTGACGGGACACTGTGCAATATTTAAATTCTGTTTCACCAGGCATAATTCTACCACACCATATATATATACCTGTGTCTGCACACTGAATCCTTCACTAAGTTTCCATTCAGGCTGATTTTCACTGGCCAAGAGCAAGATACTGTGACTCCAGGAGGACTCTGACCAAAGTCTGAGTCAACCACCAGGACAGGAGCATTTCTTACCCCTGCCTGCCCTATGCTTTGCACAAGAGAGCTCCAACCTGGGGGAGCAACCCACTACTAACTTGAACCAGATTACTAATCATAACCACAACAACAATAATACCACCACAGCTCACACATGGGCTGCAGAACAACAACCACAATAACAATATCAACATTAGGTGTGTGCACAGATGCCTTGCAGAACCAGCAGCAGTTTTGCCATTCACAAATGAAGCCAGCATCCCTACCAGTGCTGGGGGATGCTCAGCAGTGCTTTGTGTCTTCAGCTGTTTGGAGCTCAGTAACTCCTAAACCGAGCTGAACACGTGTTGTACTGAAATCTACCTTTAGAAACATACATTATTTAGGTCCGGGAAAGGTTGGATTGTAGTTTTCTCAAAACAAGAAACAGAAAAACCAGTCTCCTCTTGACTGCTCCCCAAGTTAAAACAGGGCTTTCTAGGACAAAAGGACAGTGCACTCACCCCTGCCCAGTGTCTCTTTGTCCTGCTCCTTTTTTCTCCGAGGAGGAAAGCAGCTCTGAATACACTCCTTCCCCTTGCACACATGGTCTTGAGCCAGTTCAGGAGAGGGACGGGGGAACTGGGCTGCAGGGGAACTGCTGGGCTGAATGCCTGACTTCACAGTGTTAACTGGCCAGAGAATCCTATTACTTGATAGGTAGCAAGCCAGGGACTAATTTATGGAAATTTTGACCTTCAGTCCCCTTTGACATTTTCAGATCAGCCATAGGCTGTGTGAGACATGAGAGCCCTTACAGTAAGGGGCTCTAAATCTGCCTGTGCAGCTGCTGGAGCCGACGAGCGGGTCAGAGGTAAGAATTCACTGAGGTTCGTGTGTGGGCTGCTCGGTGCCTGTTTGACATTTACAAATCAGTGACATTCCTCTGCACAGCTCAGTGCATACAAATCGCTTCAGTCACTCTGAGGAGGGCCCCTCATTTCAGTCAAAGGTGGATTTGGGCATCCTTAGCTTTCCCTTTTGACTTTAGTAAGAACACATCATGGGATCTGCTCCCTCAGGAGGATGCACTGGGGGCACTTTTAGGTTCAATCCAATTTACAAGGACTTAGCACCATCTTCGTGTTTGGGTGTGAAGCCTTTATCACTAAGTACAGTGTCAGACCCCTCACATTTTCATTCGTTGTCGCAACAAGCATTGTGTTTGTCCATTTTGTAGCACAAACAGACACAATCTCATTTCACTCAGTGCTGGGCCAATACCTCAGACCAAGAGAAGGCCAGATGGATTTCAACAGCTTCCCATGGAAACCCATTTGCCATGAATAAAGCTACACTGAGCTGAGCCATATGAGTGGGCTTGCCCCAGATTTCTCACAGTCTAGACTCTATGTAGAGAGAAAACATGATGAGAAAAACACAGCCAGGGCTGTGGACAAGGTAACATTAGCCTCAACCGGTTATTGTACAACAAATGACCATATTGGCTTCAGCCAGCCTGACCTGTTTAACCACTGCTGCTTCTCTGAACCCTGAGGGTTAAGGTGGACTCTTCATTCCCCTCTGTGCTGGCACATGCTGCTCCTCCTGGCTAGAGGCTGTGGTGCTGTGATTTGGGATGTCCTTTCATGGAGTTTACGTTGGTCTTCACCACATAATGGCTGGGATAAGAAGGCCAATTCCTTGCTTGTGGACCAGAAGCTGCGGAGCCAAAGAAAGAGGCGTGAGGGAGGCAGGAGGTGTGAGGGCTGCCATGAGGGGATATGGCGAGTTATTGCACCTTGGTAGCCAAGACTGCCGTGGTGACCTGCTGCCTTGGTGAAGCTGCCTTTTGGCACCTCGAAGCAAAGAGGTGCTTCGAGGTGCCAAAAGGTTCTCAAGAGAAAAGCTTCGAGGTGCCGTGGTTCTCAAGAGGAAAGTCTCTTCCCTCATGCCCACAAGCCACGACACTGAGGGGAAAGGCTACTTTGGGGGTGTGGGGGTGAAAAAAGGATGATGAAAAGGGTCAGAACTGAGAGGAAAATCAGTTCTGAGTGCGGGAAAACTTAGGACAGCAGTGAGGGAATGAGTGGAGAGAAGCTGTGCCCCTGTGCTGGCGTGTTGTATGTGGCGAGGCCCCTTTCCCAGCCTTGGAGAGTGCCGAGATCGAAGAGGGACAAAACGGAGGGGAAAATGGAACATAACTGAGGGAAAACTCGGACAGCAGTAAGGGAATTACCAGAGGGCAGCCACAGCCCACGAGGAGGTGCGTGGGGACATCCCTCTCCCGCCGGCCGTGCGCGGGGGCTGCCCCGTCCCCTCAGGAGGGAGAGGGCGGGCGGGCGGCGCCGAACGCGCTCCGTGCCTGGGAAGCGCCCGAGAACGCGCGGCCGGGACAGAGCTGGGGGGCCGGGGGAAGGGGAGGGCGCTGCCCGGCTCCCTCCCACCCTCTCCGGATAAATGAGCCGCCGGGAGGCGGCGGGCGGCGCAGGCTGTGGACGAGCGCGGCGCATCCCTGTCCCGTCCCCGTCCCGTCCCCCGCCGCGCCCAGCGCTCCCTGCCGGCGGGGCCGCCCCGGGCGCTGCCGCGCGTACTCGGCCGCGTCCCCGCGGGGCTGGGCGGGGGGATCGGGCTTCGCTTCCCTCCCCTGGGAACGCCTGAGGGCGGGGGCGGCGGGGCGGGCAGGGCCAGGGCCGGTGGAGGGGAGGCGGCCGGGACACCCCGGTCTGGCTGATGCTGGCGCTGCCCCGCGCAGCACCGGGCTCCGGCAGGCTGGTAGCGGCGGTCGGGACGCAGGAGGGGCCCCCCGGGCTCCCTTCCCCTTCCCTCCCTCCGCGGCGGGCGGCGCTGGAGGATTTTCTCCCGCCGCGGCCCCCTCGCTGTCCCCCAGACATGGTAGGTCACCTCCAGCTGCAAGGGATGGACGAGAGCCTGAAGGAGAAGAGCCGGGAAGGCTTGCTGGACAGTCCGGACTCGGGGCTGCCCCCCAGCCCCAGCCCCCCCTTCTACTCCCTGTCGCCCGGTGAGGGCCGAGCAGGGGGCAGCGGCGGTGCGGACCCCCCGGCCCCGGGCCACCGGCGAGAAGCCAAGGACGGCAAAGTGGTAAGAGCCAAACCCGGGCACCGGGCTCTGTCCCCTCCGGGCCCCGCGGGGGAAAGGCAGGAGGGCGCCTGTGACCACTGCCCGGGCTCCGCTGGGCTGAGTTTCCCCCGCAGTGCCCCTCGCCCGCCGAGGGCACTCCGGGCTGCCCGTGGCGGCTGCGGTCCGGTATTGGCAGCGCCGCTGCTGTGCCAGGCAGCGCTTGGCCCGGTGCCGGGCAGGGGTTTTGGATACACTCACAGAGTGTTGGCAGCTTGGCTGGGTGAACTCTAATAACGGTGGGGGAGTGAAACCCCCAAGTCTGAACCAAGCTCCCCTGCCCACCTTCGGAAGAGAAAAGCGTCGTTGTTTCTCAGTGACACTGCTCTGCCTGGTAGGTACAGGTTGGAGCTGCATCCATCCGGACCGAAGCAGGGGTGTCTGGCTCCCAGCCATCATTACGCCCTGGCATCCCGCATCTGTTTTGTGAGGAGCGTGAAGCCGCGTTTGCTGGAGCCGTGGCTGAAAGAGAGACAAAAGTGCCCTTTAGCTGGGGCAGGGTAGGGATGTGTGTCCGGGGAGATGCTGGGGACAGGGTATGGGAAGGGCTGCGTGCCTCTGCCCTTGCTGGAGCCGGGCTTTGTGGCATGAGCCTGTGTGAGAGGTTTGTCCGCTGGCGGCCGAGCGGAGCGGGGGTAGTGGTTTGTAAGCTCAGACAGCTGGCACAGCGCTGCAGGTCTCGGTCAGCCTGATGCAGTGCCAGTGGAGCACTTGAATGTGGAGTAGGATCTGGGTAGATTTATTATCACTATTATTTTGCTTTATTTGTTTATTTCTATCCCTGAGCTATAAAACCTGTTTTTAAAACACAGCGTTCAGAGCATAAGCAATGGTGGTGGAGGTTTTTAAAGGATGATGAAAGTTCTTCCCCAGGGCTCTTAAAAATTTTTTTTAAACATGTATAAAAGATGTTTGTAGGTGTATTCAACGTGGTTAATTGGCTTACAACTGCAGCACAAATCTTTCCATGAGAAAAATTTATCTACCTCTGGTTTAGTGACAATTTAGACTTCTTTCCCATAGAGACATTTTGCAATGACTCCTCACACCCTTGTGCACTTTCTCAAGTTCTAAGGCCTTTTGAGCATATTACTGAAAACTGCCTTTTACTCCTGAACATGCCAAAACCTTCCCCATGAACAATGACTCCTCACAGTGGAGAGGGTGTGAGGGCTTATTATGAAAGTCAAATCTCAAACCTGCTAACGCCGCAGTTCCTAATATGGAGCCTTACCTGCAGATGCCTGGGCGTGTGTGCCATCTCGATGGGAGTGTTTATGTACAAAGTTACCCACACGCTTCTGATTTGGCAGCATCAGGCTTGTTCCTGTGTGTCTGTAAAATAAAATTGGGGAGGAATGTGAGTGAAGGCTGCTGGAGCAAAAAACAGCAGGGGTGAAGGTGTCTGCAAAACTCTGTAATGGGGATATGACAGTCACCATTCCAGTCATATGGCAGTTGGCCACCACACCATCCAAGAAAGTCCTTAGATATCGAAGAAGAAAGAACATGAGAAAATTTATTTCAGTTCATGGGCTGTTGGGATTAAGAGTTTTAGTGCTTGACTCCTACAGGGAAAAAAGTTATTCTTGTGATCTGTATAAGGTAAAGTTTTTCAGTTGTTTTGATCATTAATGAACATTTTAGACACTTCAGAAAAGCTTACACTGTAGATGCTTCCAAATTCTGCATCATATTGCAAGGGCTTCTGCTTAGAGTATGGGTTCCATACATTGGGAATGTATGGAATTCTATGCTCTTAGCAGGTACAGAAGTTTGCAGGGATCCAAATGCTGGAACCAGTTGGACTGTGTTATTTGGAGTGGTGCTGGGCTCTGCTCTTAACTCTGTTTGGTTCACTGCAAAATAATGAAGTAAATAGGAATTTTCACTCTATTTGACTGCAGAGAGTTTCACTTCCTCTCATTTCCACTGTGCAAATACTGTACTTGCAGATCATACTAAAGCAGGAAAAATATGAAGAGTATTGCTTGCTTCATACTTCTAAATTGCAGTGTCTAATTAGCTTTAATTTTGCCATTTTACAAGGGCTTGCAGATCTATGAGCAGTTATGCAACCCATGAATGTGCTTCTGTTTAAGTCTATTCCTCTGCTGTTCATCAGAGCATGCAGAATTGGCAAATCAATAATTGCAGCTATTTGCACACCAAGAAATGCTGGTTTTAATCGCCTGTTATATTAGTGGTTGTTTTGCTTATAAACGTGACAGAGCCAGGAACACAACCTGCACTCTTTGTGTTGGAATACTATAAAACCATACATAACTCAGTCACCAACAGCCAAGGTTCTACTATGTACAGTTACAATAAATTGCTGTCAGGTGAAGGAAACAACATTCCAGATCTGAGTGAAGTATTTCATACTATTCTTTGCTGCAGAACTATCAAACCACCACTCTGAACCCAGTTGCATTCTTCTGCAGCCAGCTATTTTGCTCCAACTTCACAAATATGTTACAAAATTTTTCTGCTTTAGGACAGCCCTTCTCATGGAGACTAAAAGGAGATTGCATGCCCTTATCGAAGACTTTCTTGTGTGTAAAATCTGTGCTCTCTCTGCTCTGTGTTATTAACTGTGACTCTGAAAAAGTAAACTCTCTGCTCTTTAATAAGCACAACTTTGTTTCAAAGACAATGCACCATTTATTCACATTTAACCAGCCAGTTTGGGAACAGCTTTGGGATCCAAGAAAATATGAAAGGCAATTTAGGGCCAGAGTCATAAATACCACAAGTTCAACACCATTTAGGGACTTTTTTTTTTCATTTTACTTGTAGTGCAGGATAAATTGGCTTTTATTTCTTCAAATAAAATCCATGTAGGGAATTTGTCAAGTGTTTTGTGCTTAAGTGCAAATATCCTAAGGAAAATAGAAGGTGACTTTTACCTAGTTCTGCCTTTTAAATCTGAAACATTATTAAATTGATTCTTATGACTTGGGTTACTGAATTCTCTAGACTGTGTCTGTAAAGCTGGGTCAAAAGGAACAGAAATACAACAAAATAAATCCTAATAATATGCACCAAGATGCAGTTGCTGAAAGCGTGGGGAATGAAATGACATCAAAGTACCCATATCTGCTTAGAGTTTTCCCTGTTGTTCTTGCCCTGGGTTACTGATTGGGGCTAGAAGAACTGCTTTTAGACTGTGCTGAAATAAGTGCTTTGTATCCATCACACAACTCCTAATGGATATCAGGGGACGTCAAGCTCACATTCATCTGCAGGACTATCCATTGTGTGTTCTTGAAGCAGCAGATTTTATGTTCCTTCCCAATAGTGAAGGGAGCTTTTGCCACTGTAGTGGGTTCCTTTTACCTTGTAAGGTTTAAATATTTGTGCACTCAACCTGCCTCAGTGAGCAATGACTTCTGTGGGACTAAATGCCATTGAATCAGCTGTGGGGATGTAGGGAATTTCTACTCACATTCCGCAGCAAGAATGATTCAGAATCGCTCTTGGGTGATGGGAGGAGATTCCAGCTTCATCTCAAGTATGGAGAAGGAGACCTTGCCCCTTGGCACAGCCTTCACAGCCAACAGCGGGGTCCCAACAACGTGGTCCAAGTCAGCAATTGTGCCAACCCTGTTGGATTAATGCCTCATATTAAAAACCCCCAAAAGAATTTCTCTTCCTGACATGCAGCATTTTGAAGACCCCTTGAGTCACGGAGCCAGCATCTCATCCTGCACTGAAAGTGCTTCAGGAATGGGGCAGTATCTGTAGGGGCTGGGTGAGGAACACGGCCATCAAAGGTTTTCCATATGTAATTTCCATACCTGTCAGCACCTACACTGAAAGCACACGTGAGGGGGAGGCCCAGCACCCCGAGCTGAGGCAGCTTGCAGCCCACACACGAGGCAGGGGACGTGACTCCCTAGGCCCCATGGGTCCCAGCAGCTCTGGGGAAGCCCCAGGCTGGCGCAGGGAGCAAGGCACCCATCTGGCAGCACAGCAGGGTTTGCCTCAGGGCGTGCTGGCAGCCTGGCATCCTGACCCACTTCTGAGCCACTCCCACGGGACTGGATCCTGCAGGAATTCCCCCAGCTTCAGCTCCACGCCTGTGTCCTCTCCTGGCAAAGGCTAATCCCACCTGGCTGTTCCCTGGCCCTCAGCCCCACCCAGTTCTGGATGTGCACCCGCTCCTCTTCCTCCTTGATGGACAGGGCATGGCTCTGGGCCTCACTTGATTGGCCTCACCTGATGTGACAGATGTCCCTTCTGGGCAGATCAGGGAAACAGGCATTGGGATCTCATCATCTGCTCTGAAAAGCGTGGCTCTGATGAGAGACACCGAGGGTGATGTCTTCTAGCTCTTGAATTTCCATTGTGTCCCTACGTAACCCTGTGGACAATAAGCAAAGTAGCACACATTTCCCACTTGAAATAAAGGAGGGAGATAAGCAGGAAGGATGTAATTCTTTGAAATAATAAACCCCTGCTTTCTACCTGAGCTTTGCATTTTCTGTTATCACCTCCCAATATAATCGCATCCGGCTCTGGTATAAATTACTCGTAATGTGCAATACGTGCAGATATTGGGAAAATAAATGGTCTGTTAAACAAATATTGCTTATCTTCTAGAGCGGAGAATGTAGATGTGTGTCAAATAACTCAGCCAGATCTTTCATTATAGCTGTAAATAACAGCTGAGTAAAGTGACATTTTCATGGACCTGACATGTTACCATAGTGGGAAAATGTGGTGAGAGACATTTGCTTATGCCCTAGCTCAGTTAGGAGCTGGGAATTTGGGAAGCTGTATCCTGTTTGTAGCTCTGACACTTGGAAAGCTGTTTCCCCTTACAGTCCCTAGAGATCTAATGCCACATCTTAGTGCCTTCCATATAATGACCATAGCAAAAGGAGTCAGTCAGTTCTGGTTCTTTATGCTCTCTGGGGAAAGGTTTTGGGGGTTTATTTACTTCAAGTCATGTTAATTTCCTTTCCTTTTTCTTGCTTTGCTGCCTGGAATTTGGCAGCTAAAGAACAGGCAATGCTGTCGATGGGCTGTAGATTGAATTCCATTCAGCAACCAATTTTATCTGTGTTTATCTATCTGCTACTTGCAAAAAGCAGAGTTTAGCTGCCCAGGCCGTTACATGCCTGAAAGGCATCAGAGTTAAGGCAGAGGGAAAAATGCAGCCAAACAAGAAAGCTCTTCAACTTTTTAATACTACTGTAACTCTTTGCTGGTTGACACAAATTATGTACTAGAGAAGAAATAAAAATAAAAGCTCATTTACTGCCTAATATTCACCTTGGATCAAGTTGTAAACATGGGAGTCACTTTTTTGATATCTCCGGTATCTTTCATTTTGTCTTCTCAACCTTCCTTGCCAGACCCCTTCTGTCCTTAAAGATGCCAGGGTTGTGGTGTCTTTTGTGAAGCTGCATCTGGTAAGTGCCAGCACAGCTCCAGTTAGTGGGGACAGATGGACCAGGTCCCCACTGCAGTGTTCCAGCACAACAACGCTTGGATAGACAGACCTTGACTATGGATCACTCATGGACAGCTTGGTCTGAAGTGATGTGGACTTCTCCTCTTCACCATCAGTGACTCCCAGGAGTGTGCAGCAAGCTCTGCTGCCTGCCAGTCTATCCATAGTGCAGGATAATACAGAAACCTACCTTATTTGTGGAGTGTCTGGAGATCACCAAGTGATTCCTAGAAACGAGCCAGGGGTCCTGATTTTCTCAAGGGAGCTCAGCAATCCAGTGCTCCTCCTCTTTCAACCATTCCTGTGCAGAAGGAAAAGGAATTGAGTCAGTATTTTTTTGACAGGCAGAACATTTTTGGTTTTTTTCCGTAAAGCAGATTGGAAGGAGTCGGTGTCAAACTCTTGCCAAAAAGCCAGCTTTTGACATGTGCCAAGCATATAACATTTCAGCCCCAAAGACAAATCTTTTGGAAAGCTCATATCCCCTGTTCCTTGCTTCCCAGCTCCAGGTGACTTGCAGGAGCCGACATTTCAGAAGATCACTGGAGGGAAAACAAAATGTCACCTGAGGTGCCTTTCAGTGGCTGCTGTGTGAAACCTGTGGTTGCTGTTTAGTGACCCCTTCAAGCTGTGCAAGCAAATCAGTTGCTGTTTGGTGAGCAGCCTGCAGGATCTTAGAGATCTCTATTTTTAGGCCATGATTTGTAAGTTATTTACATCTTCCATGTGCAGACTTCCAGGTTACTTCAAAGTTTCTGACCTGCAGCAGCTCACAGAAGAGAGATCTGAGTCTGTAATGGTCTTGACAAGCAGCAGAAATCCTGGCCTTGGCCTGCCAGTGTTCTCAGTCGTTCCAGCTTTCTAAACTAAGCCAAGCCTGCAGGTCTGAAGTTGGTGCTCATCCACAGCCTATGAAATGCCTTTTGCCACCCTTCCCTGCCCAGAGCAAGGTTAACTGTAACCCCCAATGGAAACAGTCTCATCACACCCCATCCAGCACTAACCTGGAGAACGCTTAATCCTGCTCTCACCAAGTTCAGCAGCAGATTTTTGACTCTGATTGATGTCAGTCGTGCACACCAGCACCTCTGTTTCTCTGTGCACACTGGTGGTGTTTCTGCAGCGTGTTCTTGTTTCCTGTTCCCTGCTGTGGGACTTGTGCTCTGCACAGACGGCGATTGCCGCCGTGCCCACGCTCTGACTGAGCAGCACCCCCGGCGCTCGGCGGGCTGGGAAGGCTTTTCCCATGCACACACTGGGGGCCAGATGCCCCAGCAATGTTCCTGCTAAGCCACAGGAAAGACTTCATAACATCTCCTGCATCCTGGGGATGTTCGGAGCACACTTAGTGTCAGCATTTGTTAGCAAGAAGTGTGAAGGCTTGTTTGCCTGGAAGCACTTCTTTGAAACTGCTTCTTTAAAGGAGGGACGTGTATCCCCAGCCTTGTTTCCTTCACCAGTTCAAGCAATCTGCATCCCTGTACAGGTGAACCCCCAAAGGGCAGCCTGCCTGCTGTTCACAAAGCTCGTGAGCATGTGCAAATGGTGTTTGATGCCTGCACCCAAAGGAACCTCTTCTTATGTCCAGAATGTCTTTAGAAAGAGCTCTGGCCTTGTGCAGACTGTTACAAGCTGGACATTTGCACCCTTGTGAACTGAGGCTTGTCTGATGTAAACAATTCACATTTCAGAAGCAAAGAGCTTTATTTATGACCAGAAAGGCTGCCCTTGCCCTCCCCTGTCAAGAGTGTTGAAAGCAATTCAGGAATGAACTTTGCCTTTTGGCCAGTGTTTGCTAGGGAGGGTGAACATATATTTTTTTTTTTCTTTTTTCCCCCTATAACTATGCAGATACTGTTCTGTTTTGACAATGGAACAGTATTCAATCAAAAAGAGGGGTTGGCCATTTTACTTAATAGTACAACTTTACACAGTTGTAAAGTCCAGGGAAATTGCAGTATGAAAAGAAGAAACAGCTTTGTGGCTTTGGGACACAGAATTAAATGGCTTGGCAAATTCAGATGGAGCAGTGACATTTTTTGCCTTAGCCTGAGGCAGAAGGCCCAAACCAGTGGAGGAAAGCAGACCTCAGCTAGCCATCTACAGACAGCACAGAGGCTGCCAGCCATCTCCTTTAAAGAGATCCTGTGTCCCTGTGCGTCATAAATATCTGCTGACAGAAAAGTTGTGGCAGAGACTGAAACCTGCAGTGACATTTTTCCAGGAGGGCAGGATTAGGCTGAATTAGCTGCTGGGTTTGGTCCAGGCTCCAGACACAGGATCCCCATATGTGGGAACTGGTGTTTAAGAGCACTCCAGTATAAAATCTAGTGGGATTAGTCATTTCTGTGGTGGGCAGAGGAGCCTAGGCTGGTCTGTGACAATTTGTCAGAGTAAGTTCACAGTGCAGTTAGTCTTAAAAATCCAGTTTTTGGTGTCATGAATTGGAGCCTCTCCATTCGTTATAAAGTGCTGGCTTGCAACTGGCTTCCTGCATTGCAGAGGCCACAAGGTGCCCCAGTGTCTCACCCCACCCTCAGTTTTATGGTTAACAGGAATGTCCTTTGGAGCACAAGAGCCATTTTTGGCACGGAGACTTCGGGAACAGCAAATCTATCACTTCCTCTGCTGGATTGTTTCAAGGGAAACATGATTTTATGTACATATTTGTATGTATATCTATAAAAATACATATACATGTCTCACTTCAGTAAACCTACATCCTTCAAGTCAGCAGCCTTAGGCCCTATCGCTGTCTTAGGTCAGACATGGAGCACTTCTCCATGCTGACACATTTTGAGTTTTTTAAGACTTGTTAATTCCTATCAGTAAAGGCAACATCAGGGCTAAAGAAAACTTGAAAACAATTGCAATTCCTATGAGGAACAAGAAAGGAAGAAGGAAAGGCAGGGTTAAATTGCAACAAACAGATACTGCAGCAAGAAGTGACAGAGATGTGGGCACAGTCACGTACCTGGGAGGTGTGCTGGGGCAGAGGGAGGTGTTGGTTGGTGAGGACAGTCCAGGTGTTCTGTTAGGCTGCTCAACTGCCAGCCACAGCACGTTATGAACTGTGCCAGCCCCACCTGTCGTGTTCCAACACTTGCTGTGCTCTCCTTCCCTGCAGATGCCTTACCTGCTCCTGAACCCGTCCATGCCAGAGATAAGGCCTCGAATGTACCCGGTGTTTTTTGGAGAAAGCATTGAGGTCAACCCTGAGCCTGTGCAGGAAATCAGGTACAGATGGGATTGGGTGGGTAGATGGGGATTTCTATCTTTTTGCTGGTGCTTCTGCCAAAAATTAAAATGTATTTACAAATGGGAGTCATGGTTTTTTTGATGGAAAGGGAAGGACAGGTGGGAGGGTAATTCCTGAATTAAAGCCACTGACAGCAGCACAAGCAGAGAGGAGGAGGCAAGATCTGGAGGGAGGTTTTAACAGAAGGCAGCTTTCCTTCCAAGGCCAGCTAAAATCCAAAGCTGTGAGAGAAAACCATTACCATCTGTGGGCTTGATGGCCTCCACTAAGTAATCTGATGGTCTTCGTACTGTTCCCAGATGACTTGTATCTTCAGAAGAAGCAACTCCCTTCTAATTGGCACCTGTTTTTGTTCGCTCTTGCCACAGAGAAACCAGTATTAGACAGCCCACAGAGACTGAATGAGCTCCTCTGTGTGAGGAGATGGTCCCTCAAGCCACTTATGGAGATGTTCTGCCCTCCTGTGGGGCTGGTGCTGTGGCCAATGGATAAATGTTGGTCTTCATTTGCTCTTTTGCTGATGTGGAATCCTGCAAACAGCGGGAGCACTTACACACAGCTTGGGTCAGGGACAGTGGAAGGACTGTAAACCCCCTCAACCTATGCAAAAGTCTCTCTGGAAATGTACCCCAGTAAATCTCTGCTGGCTGAGGAACTGCCAGCGGGCATGTTTTAATGGTGATTACATCGGAGTCTTGTTTTATGTGTGCTGAACGACTTGCTTACACCCTAGCTGTGCAAAATACATTACAGCAGCTCAGATTACACGCGGTGCACAATCAGTCAGCCCCCCTCTGGGTGGAGGTAATGACAAGCACACACCCAGCTTTTAATCTTTTTTACGTGGAACTGCACATTCCTTGGCTGCTGATTGCTGGAGGAGCATTTGGGGAGTAGGGAAGATCAGTGGAAGTCCTGTTCCCCATGGCTAGGGATTCCAGAAAAAGCCCTTTTTCTGGCCTGGTGTCTGCACATCCTTTCTGGATGGCTGCAGAAAAAAAGGCAGGGCCGTGGCATCCTACCTGTTGTGGTTCTTCATCTGTTGGCATTTCAGGTGGCCAGTTCCTTTGAGACCAGTGGCTTGGGCAGCCATAGCCCACAATATCCCTTTAGTTTACCTGCTCTTTTAGCATTACTTGGATTTTTTGTAAGCTCCAACAAGCATTCTCACCCCTCATCTCCCAGCACTTAGATTTTAGCTGGTTTGGGCATTTTTGTGCAATGATGAAAGAAAAGGCAAACAGCCTTGACAGCTCAACAGGTCCATTATAGGGTGTTTGTCTGCCTCCAGTGTAGCTCTTAGGGCTGAGCTGAGGCCCCAGTGGGACCCATGGAGAAAACCAGAGGAAGAAGAGTTGTTGCTTGTGGCCTCTGCAGCAAGGTGTTTTCTGCCCTGGTTCTGCTACATTGCAGGAATGCTGAGATGGATTCACAGCAAGGTGGGGTTCCAACAAGATTCCCCAGCAGGACAGAGAGTCCTCTTGGCTTTGGGTTGTAGAGTTGGCACCTCCCCAGTGTCTGTGCAGTAGGAGGTGGTAAATGCTGCCAGCTTCGAAGGGTTAGAGAAGAGTCCTGCCTGTCTTGCCTCCTTTGCTGCCTGGGCAGTGCTCCTGATCCCTTGCTGTCCTCTGCAGGTGCAATTCCGAGGTGAAGTACGACTCGGAGAAGCACTATCGGGACGACATCTTCTACGGCCCCATCCCCACGGTCACCACCTACAGCGAGACCATCATCGCCGCTCCCAACTGCACCTGGCGGAACTACAAGTCCCAGCTGATCTTCGAGCCCCGCCAGAAGCCGGTGAGGTTTCAGAGCACGACCATCATTTTCCCTAAGCGTGCCAAGAACATTTACCGGACCACCCTCAACTACAGCTTGGGCTGTGCCAAGCGCTGGTTTGCTTCCAGCGTGCAGCTGGAACTCTGCGAGGAAACCAGCCCGTGCGTCATGTACAGCGAGACCCTCTGATCCGCCCTGCTCTGGCACCCGCGCAACCCCCGCCGGGCCACGGCCTGCACGGGGCTCTGGCTGGGCCTCGCTCGGTGGCAACTGAATACTCATGGCTGGAGAGCAGCTCTCGAGGCTTGCAGGGCACAGGATGGTTTTGATCAGTGAGAGGCTGGCTTGTATTTTGCGACGTTCCTGACATTCATGATCTGGATTTTATTTTTGGGTTGTTTGTTTTTGTTTTTTTTTTTTTCTCCGAGCGTATCTATTTTTGGCTTGTGTTTAGATGAAGTCAAGATGACAAAGGACCCTGTTACCCATTGCAGAATGATGCCTTATGAGCTCTGTAGGTCTTGTCTAGCACATAGGTGAGAGTCATTGTAAGCTTCAGAGCTATTTTGGTCTCTGCAAAGGGAAGACCAACTGCAGAGTCAGCGTCTGTTCGGCCCAGCACACACCAGGCCAGATCTCTTTGAGAGCTGAAATGCAGAGGAGGTGGTTATTTGTACCAGTACATCACAGCTTGCTCCAACAGCTCCTCTCAGTGAGAGCTGCCCTATTACAGCACCGCAGTCACCTCACTTCCTGAGAGGAGTGGAGACTGTCACCTCGAGAAAAAGAGGATTTAAACAGGTCCCCCAGCTCTTGCTGGCAGCTGGATGTTTGTATACCATAGCAAAGCACAGCACAACCAGGAGATGGGAGGAAGGCCTGCTGTGATGCACAGACACATCTTTTGTGAGCCCAGCCAGGAGCAAGCAGGGAGACTGAGGGAAATGAACAGCTGAAGGGCTAGTTTCTAAAAGTCACTGAGAGATTTAGGAGCCCAGCGCCCTTCTAACAAAAGTATTGCCATACCAAGTGTCCCATGCTGTTCACTGCCTCCAACACCTAATTTAAGGGATCTGTATGCACTTGCAGACCTTCTGAGTTTCAGGGTGTGGCTGTATTGCAGAGAGGAGTGTAGAGCAGAAAGGTGCTCCCTGGTTTCTTTGAAGCCAGGGCAGAGTTAACTCACCCTCTCAATAGTTTCCATATTTGTGGCATGGGCAGCTTTTCTGCCTGTAGAGGAGCAGCCAGACTTTCTCAGTGTAGAGCTTGAAAGATTGAAGAGCCCAAATCCATCTGGGTTTTCCTAACTCAGCCAGGCTGTAGCACTAAAAACAGCAACTTCACAAACAGCTGAACTGTCTCTGCAACAGGACCAAGAAACAGTGAGCAGGAGTCAGTGCAACCATCCTAAGGTAAAACATTCCCCACTCATGAATCCCATCTCCTGGTATATCTTCACTTTGGTCTCTTGCTGAAAATCTGCAAGAGCCTGGATTCCCACAAACATGTAACTTTTGAAAATAGCATGGAATTGTCTCCAAAAATCTTACCAAGAATTTTTGCATGCTGCTCAGGCTTAGAAATAACCACACAGCTCCGGAAATTAATTTCCAGCTTTCTCTCTTCTAAACTTTCCATTTTGTTCCTGACTTGCTGTGAGTCTGATGGAGTTATTTCAGAGCACAGCTGAGCAGCCAAGTCAGAAAGCCTATTAACAATGTCAACAAGATGTAGCTGATTGCCCAGAACAGTTGACGCACAAACCCGCTGAGATTTAAAAAAAAAAAGTCTGAGAAACTTGAAAAAATAATAAAATTAGTGACTTATAAAGATACTTTTTCCATCAGTTTCAAAAAGCAGTTGGTAAATGTGACCAGAACTGTGACCTTTATGAAACAGAGTTCTCTTGTTTAAAATGTAGCACAGTTTTTCCACCAGAGGTAAATATAACGTCTTTAAATACAAACTTCAATCCTGACAGCTGGAGCATCGTCAGTGCTGAAAGATGTGTGTTATGGCAGTGCTGAACTCTCCCTGTCCACTGGGAGTTAGGACTTGGTAGGAAGAACCCCTCAAAGGATTTCCAAGGCTTCCACCTACTGTTGAATTCTTTACAGCAGCACAAACAAGGACTATATTTGTAAGTGGTCAGATTCTGCTGTCACTGTCTGTCAGCATCAAAGCCTGGAAAAGCAGCATCTGCCTCCAAAGGGATTATTATGCCTGAAGCAACCCTTCTCCCCAGGGCTCCAGCAAACAGGAGAGCTGGCTTGGGCAGCAGGGAGTTGGTGCCTGGATGAACATGGCCCCAGTGCAGTGAGGTTGGTGATGCACTTACTTGCTGGTTCATCTTCAGGTCCATCCTGTTGGCCACGTGCTGCTGAAGAGCCTTGGGAGCAGGGGAGATGCCCCTCTGCCTTCCTGGGGACACATGGAGGCTCTGGAGGGCTGCTGCTGAGCCTTGGGAGCAGGGGAGATGCCCCTCTGCCTTCCTGGGGACACATGGAGGCTCTGGAGGGCTGCTGCTGAGCCTTGGGAGCAGGGGAGATGCCCCTCTGCCTTCCTGGGGACACATGGAGGGCTCAGTGCCTGCATCCCCAAGAGTCTGTGCCGAGGGGCAGGGTCCCAGGCTGACAGCAGTGCAGTCCAGAGGAAAGGCCATGCTCACACCCAGGAGATCCCTGCACGATGACAGAGGGCACTGATGGAGACAGGCTGACCTCAGAGCCAAGGGGATGCCAGACTCTCCCTGTTCTGACCACACATCAGGCTTTGCTCCTTTGAACAGCTGGAGTATTCCCCTGCTTCAAGCACAGAGCTGCTGTGCTTGAACATGCTGGTCTTTGAGCAGGACAGTTTTTCCCCAGAAAAGTCCCTTTCATCACGACTGGCTGCAGGTTTCTGCCCACTCTGTCCACTGGTAGTTCTGTTTCCTAAATATCAGCTGCAGCAGTAAAAGAGAATTCAATGCAAGCCAAAAAAGCCCAGTGTGCAAATACAAATCCAGCAGAGAGACTGAACCTCAACCTGGACTTTCACCACACAGGGAGAGGGGCTGCTGAGGCAAAGTCTCACAGGTGGATGTGACCCCAGGAGGGTGCAGTGGAGGGCTGCATCCTTGGCACTGGAGGGTCCCACACACCCAGCCCAGGCCTCTTTGAAGCTTCATGCTTCGTTTTCTCTGCAAATACACCAGAAGTGACCTAACATGCTCCTGCTCCTTTGAGTTTAAGCAGCTTTTCTGGTTTTGCCATGTTAGGGGAAAAAAAAAAAGATAGAAAGCAGCTTGGGTTTCTAGGCTGCTGAACACACTTTGAGCTGTGTAGCCATGGTGGCTATGGTGGGACTATCACCTTGGACCACATCCAAACTGGGACATTGCCAAGTGCCTGAGATCTGGAGAAATTTCTGAAAAATCCCTTCTTATATGGTATCTGCCACGGGCCCATCACAAGCTGATTTTCTTCTCAGCAAAAGCTGGTGTTGGAAAGGGACTTTGTTTTTCCTGAGGTCAAGGAAACCACAGAGGGTCAAGTCTTCACCCTTGCCTGGGCTCACACCCCAGCCTGCCTGCCCACTCTGTCCCTGCTGCTCCCATCCCTGTGGCTGGGTTAGGCTGTGGCAGAAAAGCCAAAGTTCATCTTACTCATGACTGGGAAAAGTGATGACTTTTTTTGTTTTGCTTAAACACCAGAAACTGAATTGTGTTTTTGTGTTGCCAATGAAGAATCACTTTGGGCAGCCAAGAAGTGCCTTGTGCCATACCTGTAGTGTGTTTGTACATCTCAAAGGAACAATTAGTCCCACTAGGGAGGTGCTTTTCCTTTAAATGGAGTGTTGCTAATGTCAGCCAACAGATGTTTGTTCCTGTATATTTTCTCAAAGATACAAATGATAAATTTAGACCATGGAAATGTGAGTTTCCTTGAATAGCTGGGACTGTGGCTACACTATTTCTCCCCAGGATCCTGATGTGCATGTTGCCCACAGCTCTGCAAGCCTGATGGGTAAAGTCAGACACTGCCTTTATCTTTTTTGATGAGGGGAAGATTGGTTTTTTTCAATATGGAAAGTCCCTATCTCAAAGGTGGGGGGTCTCTCCCATTCATCCCTACTTTTGCCCTGGAATACAGAGTGTGCTCATGTCTGGCCTGCCTGCATTGCTGTCATTGCATTTGGGGCCAAAAAGATGAAACCCTGACCAAATATTAAACTTTTAGAAGCTGTGGAATATGTTGCACAAACTGCAGAGAACAACTTTGACCAAAAGTTTACTGCTTGTCTTTATTGTTTGCCTTTTTCTTTTTTTTTTTTCCTTCCTAAGCCAGCTCTACTTTCATCAATGTGAAATACAGACAGATCTGCACCCTGGGTGCACACTTTCTGGGACTGTTGAAATGGTGTTTGGGTGTTGATAGCAGTGTTTGAGTGAGCTGCTGGTCAGAGAAGTGAATGCTATTTACTATTTATGTTGAGTGTGTCTTAAAAAAAATGGGAAAGGTCACCAGAGGGCTAATGAGCAAAAAAGACTTTGTAGAGCAAACTGAAGACTAAAGACTGTGTGAGTCTGACATAGAGGTGAATGGTTCTGTGTGTGAACACTGTGATCTAGGATATTTAGCCATTGTGGTTTTAACCTGCCTCTTTTCCTGTAGGAAAAGGCATCTTTGCCTTCTTTAGAGCTGAAACAAAATCAGATCCATCCTCTGCCACAGTCACTCGGTCCTGCTGAAGCCTGTGAGCATCAGCCTTCCCCAGGCTCAGGAGGTGTTTCTGTGTGCATCAATCAAACAGGCACAGAGCTGTGCCTCTGTGAGATGGGGGAATGCTTTAGAGGGGATGATGAATCTTCTTGTGGGATATTCAGATTTTTATTGCCAGATAAAGTCTGCTCCCTGAGGATCACCTGATCACTCACAAATTGATCTGTTCTAAACATCTCCCCTAAAGCACTATAACCAGTGGATTTTATAAGTCTTGGGAGGCACTAATTCTTTTTCAGATACTGTAATGGCCATCAGAATGAGCAAAGTATCCTATCATGTGAATTGTGACCTGAGGATGGGATTGAAAGGTGTCTGAAGGTTAGAGAAGGAAGAAGAGAACTTATAAGTGGTGGAAATGCATAAGGATGTGTCATATTTTTATTTTTGTAAGTCTGATTCTCTAAGTGCTTGTAAAGTACTTTA